CCAAAGACAGCTTCATGTTACCTAGGAAGCATGCATACAAAAATATTAAAGTTAACAAATAAAAAAATGTAAAGGAAAAATTACGCAATTTATAAAATACACAGTTCAGAGATATAGCAGAAAGGTATATATTAGACAGTTATTAATGACACATATATATCTATATAGATATATAGATATATATATATAGATATAGATATATATATAGATATATATCTATATATATATATATCTATATATATATAGATATATATATATAGATATAGATATATATATTGCACATATTGCACATAATTGATATTAAGACTAATTAGAAAACCAAGTAAAAGGACATTTTCACTCTGATTCGGACAAACCAAACAGACCATAGCTCGTTAAAGGGTTGTGGCGCTAACCCTTTAGCCTCCTATCAGGTTGTTAAAGAAATATCTTTCTGCTTTAAATATATGACAAAGTACGTTCATGACTTTCTCCAACTGTGAGCTAAAGACCAATGATTATTCCTCCACTGAATCCATCTTATGAACGTGTATGTGTTAACTGTGGCTGTTCAGAGCAGCGAGTGTTGAATCGGCGTCACTTTGGCACTCCTCTCGTCTCTATAACGAGCTTCAGATCTCAGTCCCTGCCAATGTCCGGACTCTGCTGCCCAGGGGAAAGGAAAAAGGGCAGCGCTGCAATGCTTTAATCCCCCCAAAACGCATTCCAGCTCTGTGTCATCACACCAGACAACTGTGGCCGCTTTGCATGCGTCCCTGCAGGGCTGCAGAATACCTGCTAAGCTGCTGGTGATGTCGCGCAGCTGCTAGCATGAACATGTGTGCAAAAATAACGCTAAATTATGAATCAGTGCACGTGGCTTTAACAAAGCGGTGCAGGACTCTAGGCGGGGGGTTTCCAATCATGCATTGCGTCTTCCCAAAATGTCCAACGTGTCGCCTTACAGAGAGATTTCTTATTTTTAGCCCTGGGTGGTTCGTGTGAGGTTCCCCTTTGGATCCTGAGGCCTTTTTTAAGAGCGGTAGGTGGAGTTTAGCCTCTCTCCTGTCCCCAGACCTGAGTTTGGGTCACTGTGGTCGGGTGTTTCCACTCTCCGGTCTCCTGTTGGTAACTCCTGGTTCCTTTCCCTACGCCAAACCACACTTTTAAGTATTAAGCAAATTTCAAAGAGGCCGATCCTTCATTATCATCGAAGCATTCCCCGAGCCAAACCACACATCTTCAACAAGTTTTGAAGTCATTTGAAGAGGCAAATCATTATCATCGAAACGTTGCAATGGATCAGCATAAGTATCGCACAGCGGGAGTCCAGGAGAAGCTGGAGATCCTCGGGGTGGAAGATGCCGACGGGAACCCAATCAGCGCCTTGACCATCTTGTCGCTTCTGGAACGCGTTGCCGGCATCATCGACAACGTCCAGTCCTCCCAGCAGCGCATGGAGGAGCGTCAGATGGACCTGGAGGGCAACATCAAGAGCATCCAGGGAGACGTGATGAAGCTCGCCAAAGACCACACGGACACCAGCTGCACGGTGGAGAAACTGCTGCAGAAGACCCGCAAAGTCAGCGCCAACGTCAAGGAAGTCCGCATGCGCGTCGAGAAGCAAAACGTCCGCGTGAAGAAGGTGGAAACCACGCAGGACGAGCTGCTCACACGCAACAAGTTCAGGGTCGTCATCTATCAGGTAAGCAGAGTCAAGTAAAAAATGTCACGATACGTTTGTGTGTCGTAGTTTTTGGAACAGAAGGTATAACTGAAACTGGAGGTACCAAGTTCTCCAGTTCTTTCAACAACTTCATGCATTGTCCTTCTGATGCAAAACAAATCATTCAATCCATTGACAAGTCAGTCACAGTAAGTCATTTAATAAGTGAAAAGGCATTTATGGGTTTATTTCAGTAAGTAGAGGAGAGGGGCGGATTCATGTGGTAAAAGATGTCAAGATATACGTTTGTGTGTTGTGGTTTTTTTAAATCATGAAGATGGAACGGAGGTTATAACTGAGACTGGAGGTGCCACGTTGTTCTTTTGATGCAAAAACAATAATGTAATCAATTGATATGTCAGTCACAGTACGTTATGTAATAAGCAAAGAAGGCCTTTTTGGGTTTATTTCAGTAAGTTTAACACCCTGGACTCCGAAAAGCAATTTATAGAAAAGCATCCTCCCTATTTAAAGAGCACACCCTCTACTATATCCAAAGTGCAAAACGACTTTAAAGGAGTCCTATTCTTCCAAATTCATTCAATAAGTAATAATGCATTTGTGGGTTTAAGCATCTTAAATGTGAAGATTTCCTGCTGTTAGAAATTGGCTTCGTCCAACTTTTGTGCAAATTTTTCTATTCCCCACAATGACGCGAATTGACGTAATTACCCATCGTATAAGACAGAAAAACCCAAAGCAAACAGCAACACTTGTTAAAAAGTGCAATAAGAAATCCACAAGATAGAAAAATAAGAATGAAACCAAAGAATGAATTTGAAGTGATTTATTTTCTTGAATGAAATCACAAAATGTACCAAAACAAATACAATTCGGATTCTACATTTTCCAACATAAGCAACGGATATTCACAAATTATCTGTGAGACACAGGACTTATTTTTTATCTAGTCTATTGACAAGAAAAATATATTATTTTTGAAGTTTAAACATGTGTAATGTTATTGCAATGTGGTTTAAAATAGTGTCTTTGAGCTGAAGTTGCCAAATTATACTACATTTTGAATGGAGCCCCTAATAATATGGTACATTATTTAAATATACAAAAATCACCATTAATGTTGTGTTTTTTAAGAGTTTAACAGTCAAAAAGTAATCAGGACTTTGTGTATGTCGCCTGGCAACAATATTATTCTGATTCAAATGATGCTGAATTCTGATTGGTGAACGGAATCATGTGTCATCATCATTTCCGAATTAAGCCACACCCACTTCAGAAGGCTGTTTCTCAATAAAACGAGTTGGCCATTTTGTAGTGCTGTATGAATGTAGAATATAGTTATAATTATAATACATGTTCCATATAGGCCTAGTGGTTAAAAATGCAATAGGGTACAGACATTATATCCCATCATGCATTGCGGTTAAGGAAACACAGTTGGATAAGAGAAGAAAGTTGCGTGATTTATGGAAAACGTAGGTATACGTAGCTAAAATGTGAGCCGAGCAACACATCACAACACAAACAATAGTAAATAAATAATTAAGTTGTGAAAATATGCTTTACTTATATAGTACGTTCACTTACTCAAAATAAAAGCTCAACCTCAACACATACCCCAAACTCATTACAATAGCTTATGTTAATATAATTATCACAAAATACAGTCGGTATTTATATCAAAATCAATTGTGCAATGATGTGATAAGACCAAAGGACCCAAGTAGTATCGGATAGTGTTTAATTTTTCCAATGAGCTAACTGTATCCACTTAATAAAATACAACAAATATTGTTTCAACGTTGTGTGTTATATCAGGAAACCGTAAGAACAGTAATAAGCTGATTGAGAGCATTTTAGCGCCTTTAACAAAGAGAAAATAAAAAACACCGTAAAAACTTGTATCAGTGGATTCTGTGGGGCAGCTCCTCTCTGGGTTCAAACCACGTTTTCTTTTATGAGGAACTGGAGCAGAATTAAGTTGAGAATACAAATCAGAGTAGGTTCATCTCCTCGAGGCGGGACAAATGTGGGCCAAGCAGCGAGATCTAAACTGAAATAAACTCTGACTCAATGCATTCAGCGGCACAGGGGCGATGTAAGGAAGTTTAACAACCTCGACTCCAGAAACAATTTATAGAAAAGCATTCTCGTTATTTAAAGAGCACACACTCTTATCCAATGAACGAACAGCTTTAAAGAGTCCCCTATGGTGATCTTCAGGTGTATATCAGAATGTAGTATCTCTACTTTAAAGAGTCCTCTCCTGCTGATGTTCAGGTGTATATCAGTATGTAGTGTCTCTACTTTAAAGAGTCCTCTCCTGCTGATGTTCAGGTGTATATCAGTATGTAGTGTCTCTACTTTAAAGAGTCCTCTCCTGCTGATGTTCAGGTGTATATCAGTATGTAGTGTCTCTACTTTAAAGAGTCCTCTCCTGCTGATGTTCAGGTGTATATCAGTACGTAGTGTCTCTACATGTCTCCATGCTTTAATGTTCAAAAAGCTCTTTATTGTTCTCATACTGTCTGTGCTGCAGCACCTCTTTTCACCCTCTGTCTGAAACCAGAGCCCAGTCTGCTCTGGTTGGTTAGCTGGCCGGCTCTGTTGTTATTGGTCAACTGCTAAAAGATGTCCCGCCCCTTAGCCAATCATGTACAATGTGTTGGATCGCTAGCCAATAGAAGCGTGAGTTTTACATAGTGATGTCACTTTGTTCAGGAAGTAAACAAAGGAGTCCAATGGAGGCGTTTCAGGCAGGGTGAGACATTTGGGATTTTAGCCTTTGCAGACCATTTACAAAAACCTATATAATACACTACAGGAAAGGGTAAACCCTGAAAAGCATAATAGAGCCTCTTTAAAGTAATCCAAAAGGAACAGAAAATAATTAGTCAGATTACTCCTATATTGCGAACTTGGATTAGGTTACTAATTACATTTCCTCCACATGTAACTAGTTATTGTAACAGAACTCAACCCTGGTTATAACCATCCATTCAGTGACATTCACCCACAACACATGCACATCATTGAGTGGAACAGTGAGCTTTACCCAGGCTGGAGCGGGTGTTGGATCTCTCAATGATGGCCCTCTTACTGGGGTTGTTTAGTACTGACCTCTTGGCCAACGATATGTCAGCTGTTACCCTTGTGATGGATATCCTGAAACGAAACACACACACGTCATACAGAGGAAACTGGCAGGAGGGTGACTCAATATATGTCACTTCTCTGTATGTATGGTTGCTCACTTCCCTTCGAACTTGTGCTTCAGGAAGTCAAACAGCGCCTTCTGCATCATATCTGTCACCTACAGCCATGAAGAGGAGAAGAAGAAGAATCAGGTAAAAGAGTGTAACTTCCCGTCCCCACGGCAGCGTGCGTTGAAACTTCAAAGCTTCTGCCCATTCACTTTGAATGGGGTGACGTCACGCTTTGCCAAACTGCATTGTGGTTCCGTCGTTTCGCTTTGCCCGCGTTGCTCGCTTCAAAAGTTGAGCAATGTTCAACTTTTGAAGCTTCGACGGGAGCGCCAGCAAATCAAATCATATGCCAGTACAAGCTCAAGCCAATCAAACCGCGTGCTTATGTGTCCGGGGCGGGAGATTCATGTGATTGGTTGTTGGCCGAGTTTCAGACACGCCCACCGGCAAGCTTCAACGCACGCCGCCGTGTGGACACTGCGCAAGTGGATTCTTATTATTCATTCTCTTGATGTGTATTCAGGTTGCTGCTGTGAATTACACACTCTTACACACCGAGCGATTCGTCTACAGTTTCTTTCCCTTCAGCTCTCTCGGCAGAGCAGGCCACATTAAAAAAAAGTGATTAAGAGTTACAATGAGAAGTTTCGCAAAAACCGATGCACAGATGATGAATTGGGGGAATTGCAAAGTGCAGCTTCTAGTCTCTCCTGACGAGGAGGACTTCATGTCTGAGGCCTTGAATCAAAACAGTAGCTGTCTCTTTTTTTAGTGTTTCGGCAGATTTGAACAAGTTAAAAGTTTGCTTGAAATATTTGTTGCAGAAAATAAAACAATAACTTAAGGACCATAAGTTCAACAGAAAATATCAGAGCCGAGCTCACCCTCTTTGTCATCGACACAAGCCCAGCACTCAACATGCAGACTTAATACATTAAAGGAGCCCTACTATGCTCACATATCAGTATGTAGTGTCTCTCCTGTAACATGTCTCCATGCTTTAATGTTCAAAAAGCTCTTTATTTTTCTCATACTGCCTCTTGTCACCCTCTGTCTGAAACCAGAGCCCAGTCTGCTCTGATTGGTTAGCTGGTCGGCTCT